AGGATGGGGGGTTTGTGTGTATGTCTGTGTGTGTGTGTGTGTGTGTGTGTGTGTGTGTGTGTGTGTGTGTGTGTGTAGCGGAGACGCCCGTTGCTCTGCTTCTTTTGGGGTCTGATTGGGGCCTGATTGGGACAGGCGATCTGATCCGTGCGTGCCGTTGTGGTGACGAGGCTGGCAGCGCCCGCGGACGCCCCAGCAGCCCCTTCTCGCGAGCACTACAAATCCTGCCAGCGACGTCCCCCCCTTCCCCGAGCAACTGTCCATGCGTGAAGGTGGCCGCCCGTGAAACCAACCCTCTTGCCCCTCTCCCACCCGCCGCAGGTCCGACCCGCGCCGCTGCTGCCGGCCCCGGCCCTCTCGCGCGGCGAGGGGGTGCGGCTGGTCGGCCTCTCCAAGTCCCTGCGCATCATGCAGCGCGCCTCGGTGGTCACAAACGCAAACGCCGCGCTAACCATTCCGAGCGCGGAGGTGCCGCGGTGAGCTTGGCAATGGTGCTCGCGGGCGGCACATAAGGGGCCGCGGGAGGCCAGCTAGCACGCATTGCAAATGGATTTCTTTTCAAGGAGGCACAGTGGGCGCCGCTCGTCGCGTTTCATGCCTCCCAGGCGGCCGTGCCTGCGCACCTTTGAGCACCCTGGGCGTCCTGCATTTATACGGCAAGAACAAAGCATTCACGCGCTGGCACGCGCGACACGTGTTTGCGCACGCGCGCGCGCGCACACACATATACACACACACTCACACACACCAACACACAACACAAGCACACACACACACACACACGTCACACACACACACTCACACACAAATACGCTTGCGTGCGCACACGCACCCCCTCAAGCACACTCCCACAAAAAATTTGAAGCACATGAATGCACGCACGTGTGCAGCTGGCATAGGCACGCCTTACAACAAATATTCCCTCTTGTAGCTGTCCACCTTACCCCACACTCAACGCCACTCGAACCCGTCTCAACCCCTCATAAGCCGCTGACCGCAGCACTCCCGCCCTGAGGCCCCGCCACACGCCCGCGCGCCCCCAAAACCTCCCGCCGGCAGTTTCCGCGCCGTGCACGAGGAGGTCATCAGGCTGGACCACGACTTTGGGGCGTCGTTCAGCGGCGTGCTCACCGACGACGCCGGCCGCGTGCGTGCGCTGTGGGGCAGCTACGCGGGTGCGCGCAGCCGGGGCGCAAAGGGGCGGCGGGGCCGTCGGCGCGGCGCCTGTCGGAGCCAGCTTTGCCGCCGCCGTTTCTTGCTCTTGTTTGCACCCCCTGCTGCCTGCTCAAGGACCCGGCCTGGTGCCAGCCAGGCATGCGCGGCGCCGCACATCGTATAAACCCAACCAAACCCGCTCCCTCGTTTTCTCCGAATCAGAGCAAGTGGATAAGGAGGAGCGCGAGTGGTGCGCAGGGCTGCCGACGCACGTGTTTGCGCCCTGGGTGGAGAAGCTGGCTGCCCTCGACACCACGCCTGTGCTGGCCACGCCGCCTGTCAGGTGCGGCAGTATTGGCGCAGTGTTGGGCCGCCGCGGGGGGTTGGAAGGCTATCGACCCCTCAGGAAAGAGGTGCCGATTGCCTCGAGGCATGTGAAGCTGTCACGAAAGGGGGTTTCTCAGGTGCGACGAATCTCAATCCAGCAACGTCCCCCTACATCGTCGTCGGGCCCTTCCGCGTCCCACGCGCAACCTCGGGAACGCCAATGAATCATACGTAGGACACTGGACGCCGAGCTGGAGGCGGTCCTGCTGTCCAAGGCGGCCCAGTTTGGCCTGCCAGGCGCCTGGGTCTCGCGCCTCGACGCGCTCGACCCGGAGCGGCGGCAGGTTTTGCGCGTGCGCAGCTGCGTCGCCGACAGCCCAGCAGCGGCGCTGCTGAGCGGCGGCGACATGATCCTGCAGATCGACGGGCGGCCGGTGACGTGCTTCGGGGACGTCGACGCCGCAATACAGCGGGCGTGCGAGGCGCCGGCGGCGGGCGGCGGCTGCGGCGAGGGCGAGGCGGAGGAGGCGGCGAGCGCGGAGGCCGGCGCAGCGGCGGCGCCGCCTGCCAAGCGGCGGCGCGGCGGCGGGCAGGGGCAGGGGCAGCAGCCAACGAAGCAGCGGCAGGGGCGGAGACGGGGGAAGCGGCAGGGAGATGACGAGGATGCCAAGGGGGAAGGGCAAGGCGAGCGTCAAGGCAGCGGCGGCATGGGCGGCGGCATGGGCGGCTTGGAAGCCAATGGCGTGCAGGAGGGGGGCAGCAGCAAGCGCCCGCCAGAGCAGCAGCAGGGCACGGCTCCTGTCATCAAGGGCGGCGCAGGTCAGCAGCAGCAGCAGCAGCAGCAGGATGAGCAGGGGGGCCAGCGCCAGGGCGGGGTGGAAGCCGCCCGGCAGCTGCCCGAGGTCATGCTCACCGTGTTCGACAAGTCCCGCGCCGTGCGGGACGTGCGGGTGCGGCTCCAGGAGGAGTGCGGCATGGGCACCAGCCGGCTGGTGCACTGGGCGGGCGCGCAGCTGCAGGCGCCGCACCGCGCGGTGCGGGAGCTGGGGTTCCTGCCGCCAGGGGGTGGCGGCGTCTACATCAGCAGGTGGGGCGCGGCGGCCTGGCTGCAGGGGACGCGGCTGCGCTCGCGGGCCGGCCACTGCTGCCACCGCCGCCAGACTTGTCCCACTGCCCTCCTCTCAAAGCTTCAATCAAACGGTTTCAGGCGAGCACCGATAACAGCCACGTCTGAAGGAGCACGTGTTTGGCACGCCGTCAGCCGCTCGGGCCTCCCGCCCACCGCCCCCCGCGACCTGCGCACTTGTTGCACACGCGCCACATACCCCGCGACCCGCCCGCCAGGTGGCACCACGGGTCGCCCGCGCACCGATATGGGCTTTACGCCCTCCACGCAATCCTGGAGGTCAACGGGCGGCCCACGCCCGACCTGGACGCGTTTTTGGCGGCGGTGGAGGGCCTGGGGGACGGCGACTTTGCGCGCGTCTGCCTGTGCCACCTTGAGACGACGCAGCGGAAGGTGCGAGCAAGGGCGTGGCCCCGTGGCCGCCGCCCGCGCCGGGCGCGCGGGAGGGGGCGGCTGGCTTGTTTGTGGCGGCTGAACGGGCAGGCGCCGCGCGTGGTGTCGGCGGGCGGGGCGGAGGCGGCGGTGGAGCCGCAGGGGCTGTGCACTGCGACGTCCGCAGGCGCGCAGCCCCGGCTGCTGGCCGCGCAGTAGCCGCCGCTCGCGGACCCCGCCGGCCGCCGGCCTGCCGCGTGCGCCGCGTCGCGGCCGCTCTTTCCAGGGTGCGCGCGTCAGCCATCAGACACGCAACTGCATAACTGCCGTCCCGCCCCGCACCGCGCTGCCGCCGCTCTCCCCAGGTGCTGTCGGTGCGCGTGGACCTGCGCTACTTCCCCACCTGGGAGCTGCGGCTGGACCTGGGGACTGCCACCTGGCGTCGCACGCTGATCAGCGGGGGCCAAGGCCACTAGCGCCGCGCCCCTGAAAATCAGAACGCTGGCGGGCGCCGCGCAAGCGGAGAGCAACAGAACGCTGGCGGGCGCCGCGACGGCGTGGCTGTGAGGTGCCCGGTGACGGCGGCCCCTTACATGCGCATTACCCGCGGTGCTGGGGGAAGCCGCGGCCGCTTGCCCAGGTGCTGGCCCCGGCGCGGCGCTTGGATATGGCGGCGCAGTGTTGGTGGTGTGGCGCGATGGCACTGCACTTGCAGGCGTGTGTGCCGTCCCCCGGTGATTTTGAGCGGGGGCCAGGTGGTGCTGGGGGCGTTGGGTGTCGAGGAGTCTTTTGCAGGTGGATTTTTTTTGCTTTTTGAGGTCTCCCAGAATTCTGGGAGCAGCCGGAGCATTGATCCCGTCAGCATCCAACTTCACATTTTTTGCTTCGACTGCCAGTTTTCTGGTCTTCATGGGCGCAACCTGCCCGACTCACCTCATGCGCTCCTGCGCTCATGCAGTGTTAGCAACAACAGGCGCGGTTGCAAGCCTACAAATGTGCGTGCCGCAAGTGAAGAGTCAGCGAAAGGAGTCGGGTCGACCAAGGGACGCACAAACAGTCATGCAGGTGCCACCCCCTGGGTGGGCGAGGGGCGGCGTCGCGTTTGTTACCCCCAGATGGACGAGGAGGGTAGCAAAGGAAACCTTGTCTGATGATGTTGCACACGATAGCCTGCCAAAGTCAGGCCTGAGCGCGTTGAAGGTCTATGCTTTTAGTCTGCCTCAATGAAAAAAAAACAATGTTCAGGGCTCAAGTCAGCCACAACATAGGCAGCTGCAGCACCTTGATGGGTTAGCCACCCCCTTGAAGTGGCAGGTGCTCGCGGGCTCTTTGCCGCCCGTGGCGCTCTGCTCGGGCGCGCACCCAGATCCGCCCGGGCCTCTTGCAAGCAGAGAGTCTCACTGTCGCGTCTGCACTCAGGCTGACCAGCTGCTCCACTGCGTTTCATGTGATCCTATAGTCAACTCTGCTGATAAGGCAGCCCACTGCTTGTGGCCGGGCTCTTGGCCTGGTGGTCACATTGATCGCTATCGGGCAGTTCGTTGTTGCATGCACGGTGTGCAGGTCGCCCGTGGCCGCGTTGGGGTCCAAGCTTAGCTGCAGGCGCTAAGGTCATGTTTGAATTGCCGCCGAACTTGAAATCCCCCTGCTCAATACACGTGTGGTGTGATTGATTTGGCTTCTGCATCTGCCACCCGCTGGCTAGGCGCTAAACTTGCGCATGCATGCATGGCTACAAGATCATGTCATCTGCCTTGTTTGTTTTGCTTATTCTTAGTATCCTTGGAAGCCTTTTCATGATGACAGCAACTACAAAACATTAGTCAATATTGACTTCAGTAGCAACGCTGGAAACAGAACCAGGCTCAACAACCGACACCGGGAATGTGTCATGCCCAAGACGATTCTCTGATATACTGTTCTTGTCTCATGGCACCTTGATACACAGAAGGGCAGTACAAAACAGGCTGATCTTGCTCAGGAGCACACGCCTGGACTGGTGTCAATCCATAGACCACGCGCAAGGATTTTGCTACTGCACGGTACATCTTCACGGTGGCAGCTCGCGTGACACCGAAACCTATGATATCCGTCAACAGTCGCGCAACATAATTGTTTTTATCGAAAGGCATGCTGTGATCTCAGGCGCAGGCAGTATGAGCGTGCAGGCGAGGGCGCTCTCGGCAGCGGTTTGGAATATTATACCCAGCACCACTGCGCTGGCACAGCGCTGGCAGGCCCATGGAGCACCTATGGCGACGGCTCAGCGGTTGCCTGGAACAGCTGCATGTGCTGCTGATGCCACCACCGCGGGCCCTGCGGCGCATCCAGCCAAGCGGCTTGGGCTGGCTGGGGTGCAGCACATTGTTGCTGTTGCATCCGGCAAAGGTGGTGTGGGCAAGTCAACGGTCGCAGGTGATTGGACAAGCGCAGCAACGGGCGGGCAACTGATGAAACCACTGGTGACGCGGCCGCCGGCCTGTCTCCTCTCCCACACACAAATATCCGCTGACAACTCTAACCCCCTTTGGCCACCACCCGGCCGCAGCAAATGTGGCGGTTGCCCTGGCCACCAGGCTTGGGCTGAGGGTGGGCCTCTTGGATGCAGACATCCACGGCCCATCAGCGCCAACACTCATGAACTTGAGAGGGGAGCCGCTCGCCACGGCAGGTGCCTGCCCAATGACACCGATAAATCGACAGCGGCGGCGCGCGGCACGCGTGCATGTGCACTATCTGCAGGTTCACCTCCACCATCTTGTACTGTGGCCCGCTTCCCCTTGCACGCCTTGGCCGGCTGCACATCATGAGATGCAGCGTGTGAAGCAGGCTCTCAGCCTTGCCCCGCCAACCACCCCCCAACAGAGGGCTTGATGGTCCCACCAGAAAACTACAATGTCAAAGTCATTTCCATGGGCTTTTTCACAGAAGTGCGTAGTCCAGAATGAATACGCGCCGCCAGTGCATTGCTCGAGCGGTGGCGGGGCGAAACACATTGCCCCGCACGTCACTGCCGGGCAGGGGCAGGCGGCCGCGCCCCAAGCGGCGGCGCAGAGGCTCTTCCGGCCCCTGCTGCGCACGGTCTCAAGTCCCCCATTTAGCGACCAGCCTGCGCCACGCCCCCGCTGAATCGCTGCAGATGCCGCCCCGACCCTTCACCAACCCCGGGTCTATGCAAATCTCACGCCCACCCCAGCAGCGCCGCCACCCACTGCCTACGACCCTCTAAACCCCTGAAAACAAATGTTACCGGCACAACCCGGCAGGGAGATGCGCCCATTGCCTGGCGGGGCCCCATGGCGACCAAGGCGCTGGACAAGATGCTGATCGGGACGGCGTGGGGGCAGCTGGACGTGTTAGTCATCGACATGCCGCCAGGTGGGCGGCTCGGCTGAGCGCCGCTCTTTTGGTCCCTGCTGTCGCGCGGCCTGTGCCTGGGTGCCGTGTGTGTGGTGTGAACGCGGGGGGACGGGGCATATTTTGTAATCCAGCTGCCTTGGGAGCGGCTGGGGGCAACTGGAGGCAATTCAGTTGTGTTCCAGGATAATGGTCGGCGTTGTCTTCCGAACGCGAGCGGCATCTGGGATTGGGCCGCAGCAATCCGACCAGCAATCGCCAGAGCTGTATCCCCACCGCCCCAGGCACCGGCGACGCCCAGATCACCCTGGGGCAGCGCCTGCCGCTGTCTGGGGCCGTTGTCGTCTCGACGCCGCAGGATGTAGCCCTGCTGGACGCCAGGTGGGAGCCGCGCAATGACGCATGATGACGTCATCTGCCTGGCCCGGGCAGGTGGCGGGCAGCGACGGCCAAGTACCGCGGCCCCCTGGCGGACTCGACGCCCCTAAGCAGCTTGTAATGCCGCAGTGCATCCCACTGACGGATACGGACATTACCTTCTTCATGGCACTGATTTGATAGCAATTGTGCACCTTTGAGGGAATGGTGTCGCGCGAAGCAGGCACGATCCCGACACCCCGCGCCGCCCGCCGCCGCAGGCGCGGCGCCCAGATGTTCCGCGCGGTGCGGGTGCCGCTGCTGGGGCTGGTGGACAACATGGCGGCGTTCTGCTGCCCCAAGTGCGGCCACGAGGAGGCGATATTCGGTGCGGGCGGAGTGCAGCGGGCGGCGGAGGACCTGGGACTGGAGGTGCTGGGGCAGGTGAGCAGTTGGACCAAAATGACAACATGTGACTCATCAAAATCCGGGAATCACTGCACTCCCACCTGCACTCGCCAGGGCGTGTTCGTGCATCATGGGTCGACCCTGTCACAGGCGCGTTTGACAACTGTGTTTTGTTGTTGACACGCACTCTTACAAACTGATCACTTATACTTATTACTCATTTAGTAACAGTAAGCTACCAACGCCACCACTTACCCTGACGGCAGGTCCCGCTTGAGGTGGCTGTGAGAGTGCAGTCTGACGAGGGCGTGCCTGTCGTGGTGGCCAACCCAGACGCCCCCAGCTCAAAAGCGTACGTCAGAATCGCGACGCGCGTGTGGGAGAAGCTGCGCACGTCGGAATCGGGAGGCGGCCCGGCGGCGGCGAGAGGGGGGCCGACCATCTCTGTGAGCGAGTAGGGGGGTGACCGGTCAGAGGTAGGGGGGTTGTTTTAACAATCACGTGCTCCTTGACCTGCAATGCCACCTTCACAGTGTGCTCGAGAGAGCTGGGTTACAACCCGGCGACAGTGGTCCACCTCAGAGTGCTGTTGTGTGAAACCGTTTGTCTGCGTTCTTCTGGCAAGTTTGCAAGATTGCACTTTTCGTTCGAACATTCTTTCTTGCACAAGTGCATTGCGCAAGCAGTCCTTCGCACACTATGCCCCAGCCAAGCCCCTCATGCCAGCGGTCTGCTTGAGATGCTGAGTTTAAGATTGTCGTTAACAATTTGTAAATGTACAGGCAACCACCACCACAAATTGTACGTCAATTTGTCAATGGCTGCTTTTGCACAGGTACCAAGCTTACGATTTGTATCCCGGATTACTCATCAATCATGGCGCTGCGGACACCAAGTCCCCTGATCTCTTGACAGGTTACGCGTGCAATCCCTGTACACAGCCTTCACCTTGACCAAGGCGGATGCAGCGGCCTGTCGCGGCCATGATCGCCGCCTCGGCCACGATTGTTGGATTTTTGGCCCTCGTCCACGACAGCGGCCTTTGCCGCTACCTTGCACACACGCTCCATTTCGACACTGCAAGGTGCGAACCCTAGCTTTTGGTAGGGCAAGGGTGGCTTGCAACATTGGTCGGGATGGAAGGGGGCGGCGTCAAAGACAGGGTCCACCGCACCCCCTTGGGTGGCCCGGGGGGGGGGGGGCGATGTCACATCAGCAGTACCGTACCAGATCAGGCGGCAGCCCCGACGCAAAAAATGGTGTTGCAGTCCATCTATCCCTACCACGAACGATTCGTATGGTCACAAAAGCTGTGTTGATTCACGATGCAATTGTCACACACCCGCGACAGCTAGAGTCGAACTTTGAACGAGCCACCTGGTGTGTCGCGCTTCATCGCGTTTTTGCGACGATGGATAGTGCTGCGATCGCACAGCAGATAATGGATGCTAGGGACCTGGCGGCAGCCGGCCAGCCGACGAGCGCGCTCGTCTACTTTGCTGCGCTGCTGCCGCAGCTTGCCAGGTGCGCACGAGCGCTCTTGCGAGTGAGCGTAGCAGCACCGGAGGCACCGTAATCTTGAGCGGAAAACATATCTTGCATAGCAATAGCATTACGCGACCATGACAGCAGTTCGGGCGCCGCCATCCAGGCCGCCATAGCTCGCAATGAGCCCGTGCACCAGCTGCCCTTGCCTGGGCTTTCTGCTTGAGCGCCGCGCCACAAAGCAGCACCCACCCCGCCACTCTGCAATCAAAAGGCTAGCTGGGTCAGCCGGCGACCCCTACAAGCAGGGCCAGTACGCGTCTCTCATCAAGTCGCTGCAGGAGGAGCAGCAGCTGCTGCAGGAGATGGAGGCGACCCTGGAAGGGCTGCGGTCGTGCCCCGCCGGCGGCGGCCAGGCGGGCGGCCGCGGAGGGGGCGGGGGCGGCGACAGCGTGGTGAGCAGCATAGATGGCTTGTCCTTTGTGGGGCGGGAGGGATTGTGGTTGCAGACGAAGCTGTCAGTGCGATGCCGCTTGCGGGGTGTCGACTAATACTCAATTGCACATGCGTCACATGCGTCAAGCGTCTGGTGGCGGTTTGTGCATGCTGCTTTCCATCTGCAAGAAGCACACACACCACGCACCATTGCTACCCATCAGAGCGCTGATCAGCCACTCTTTCATGTGCGCAAAGCAGATGGATGACCCGTTTATTGCTGCAGCCGCGGACAAGGGCTACAGGCAGGCGCAACACCAGGCACGCGGGGACAAGGCAACTCGGCATGCAGCGGCCGTGGTGCCTGCTGCGGGGCCGCGGGCGGGCGGCTGGCGCAGGGCTGCTCACGCCCCGCCGCACAGCTGCTGTTTTGGCGCGTGGCGGTCGCCGCATACGACGGAGCCTGCAGAGTGCTTTTGGGCGAATGTCAGCGGCCTCGCCCAGGCGATTCTGTTGCCGTCAAATGTTGACGCATTAGTCATCACGCACCAGTCAGTCGCACCCACAAACGCACCAGTAGTTTGAACTTCTAATCAATCCATGCAATCTGTCTCGTTCCTTCCATTGACGCACAGCATGTCGGGGACCCAGGGGACCCGGACGTTTGGGCACCGGTGGCGCAGGCGCCAGCGCGGGCGGGGCCAGCCGGCAGGCAGCCAGCCGCGCCTCGATCAAAACCTGCGGTGAGCTCGACCTGTTTCTAGGTCGGCATGGGGGCGCAGGCACGTGTGGTATTCATATTGATCGGGGGCACCGAGTGATCTCAGGAGCCCGGCCGGTGCGCTGAGGGGGGTGCTCTCGCGGGGAGCGGCAGCTGAAGCGCGCGCGGCGTCGCTCCTGTGGTGCAGGGTGGCCTCCCAGAGGACCGGCTTCCCCCCTGGGCTCGCAACAAGTCGCAGTCAGCCGGCGGCCTCCAGCCCTCTGCCGCGCCCGCCGGCGCGGCCGGCGCGCGGCGGCGTGCGGCGG